TACCGTCCCATATCCGTTATTAGTGTTACCAAAGTTTTTGAACAATGACTAAAATCTAGGTTAAATAAATATTTAAATAAAAATGACATAAATCAGAATTTATTTTTATTATACCACACTCATATTGAATCTTTCCATCTACCGACAGACTCGCGCTATTTATATAAAGCTAGCTCTGCACTAGTACATTCTCAACGGTCTAGAAATTCTGAAAGTTCTCTCTCTATGACTCAGCCGACGTGCATCAATTTCTTTGGTAGCTTCTCGAAGTAGTGCGCTTATCTTTGTCCTGCGGTATCGAAACATAGACGAAGTGGCTTGCAACGGCGAGAGGACCAGAGTCGGCTTAACATATTTTTGTCCCTTAATTTTCATAAACTAACTGAATCATGTTTATGTTTTCTTCTTATATATATATATATATATATATATATATATATATATATATATATATATATATATATATATATATATATATATATTTTCTTTTTGTAGCATAAACATGTTAAACAAATTTGGCTAATTGTATGAGATTAATTGTTTTACCCCAGACAGCACACCAAATCCTTTGGATATCTACTGCACATCCCAATATCCACTGAATGTCCAGTCCATGGTGGATATCTATTTTATATCCATGATATGTAATTTATAGACATGCAAATGTCCATAAATAAAAGTAATTATATAGCAAATTATTAAAAAACTACGCCATTGTGCTCGCCATTGTGGCTAATAGTACCGTTCAGATATTTAAAATTAATTTTTTTAAGGTGTATTCAATATCCCATGGACATCCACTAAGTATATCAAAGTCTAGGCGCGAACGCAAACCATCGTGGATATCCACTAGATGTTATTTGATTTTGCTTACTAAGTATAGATGGCGATACCACTTTCGCGTCTACTCATGCTCGACCCGCCGTAATTGAGTTCGATCGAAATTTGTGTCCTACTCAGACTCCAATAGAGACTGGAATCGAGAATTTCCATTTATTGCTGAAGAGTCCTAATAAGGATGACTTTCTCCTTAGTGGGCAAAATCAAAAGCAGAGTGTTGAAAATATTTTGAGTGTTGAAAATATTTTTTATCTCTGCTATTTTCTTTCGACGTTATTCAATAATCATTGGTTATTTATGAACCTCTACTAAAGATAAAATATGTTGCTGAATATCCGAATATCTTCTATATTCTCGGATATAGACGGACATTTGGTTGGATATCCAAATTGGATATATTAAATATCCACAAAATATATTATGTGGATATCTCTGGGATGTCTTGTATTTTCTGGAAGATACCCATTAGATATTTTGCTGGATATCCATTAGGATATCTTCTATATTCTGGATATATACGGACATTTGGATATCCATATTAGATCCACGGAATATTTCTGATATCCTGTGGATATATTGGATATCCATAAAAGATATTCTGTGGATATCTCTGGGATTTGGTGTGTTGTCTGGGACTGTATTACATTTATGAATTCTAATTTATATTGTCTTGTAAATGGAGATTCTATCTAAAGAATTAATTAATTTAATAAATAAGCCAAAGAGGGACTTGACTGGACTGGTCGAAAATAGCTCCCATGACATTACTTTTTAATCAATTTGACATTTTTTTTCTGTGATTAACCTTCCGCTAGTCGCGTCAAAAAGCTTTCGGGATTGGTCGCGCATGTATCTGATAGATACATTATCATTTTTAGGGTTTGAAATAATAAAAAAAAATTAGAAAACTGCTTAATTTAAACATTTTTGCTCTACAAAACAAAAAAGAACAGACATAATTATAAAATAATCAAATTATTCATAAATATTTACATTATTTGCCCAGGAACACAATCTTTACAAATATTTTTACAGTGATCAAGGCACAAAGGTTTTGAACATTTTACACAGAAAAATTTTGTGAGACGGGATTTTTTTGTTTGTGAATAGCACGGACTACATCTTTTTCTTTTTCTGCGTACATTTTTCGTGTAGCACAGGAGCAAGGATATTTTCAGGATCGGCATCCGGCAGAACTTCTACGTTTGTCATTTGTCGTCTTTGGATTTCAGGTTCGGTTGCTAACTGCTCTTTTAGACACAATTTCGGAAAAATTGAATTTGAAAATGAATAATGATCCACAAGAATCCACAACAAAATACGATATTTAGAGGATATCAAGTCTCAAACTTATGTTCCTTATTTCAGTTACCATAAACCTATACTTTCAATAATAAACATTCCTGAATAACCTACATGTATTGTAAGATAATAAAAATATTTTAAACAATACTAACTTCTCATTTATTCAATAAAACAAATTTGTTTTCTTATCGGTCACCACGCTCAAAAAGTGTAAATTAAATTAATATCAAAGAAAAAACTTGAATTAATATCAAAGAAAAAAAAATACTGCATAAATAAAATAAATAATTATAATTGCATAAGTTGATAAAAAATGCTTTGTAATAGCTTTACCTCGGCAGTCCCCGAGTGCCACACGTATTTTTTTTCTTCAGAGTGCCTACAAGAGAGAGTTTCTTTTGCCTAAGATCTTCTACTAAATCATAGCTTGTGAACCAGTTGTCAATCGTGACGTTACGGCCAGAATTATGAATAGGAGTAACAAGTCTCTTGACCACATCAACTGATTTATTGCTTATGCCATATGGTCCTTCTGGTTGTTGTCCAGCATATATCTCCATATTGTAGATATAAGAGAGTTTTGCGTCTACAAGGGTAAATATTTTTATTCCATATTTAGCCGGCTTAGAAGGTATATACTGGCGAAAAGCACAACGTCCTCTAAAAGCTTCTAATTTCTCATCAATAGTCACGTTTTGGCGCAAAGAGTATGAATTTTGGCAATTTGTCACAAATGCCTCGAAAATATTCCTTATTGCTGCCAAGCGGTCGATTTGTTTTCACTCGTCTCTCGTTTCCCTGTCATAAAACCTCAAACAGCGCATTATGTAACGAAATCTCCTCAAACTCATGGTCTTCCAAACCTCTGTACCCCATCCTCTGACCATAGTTCATCTAAACTTATTCGATTGGCATGGTAAACGCCAGCTAAATATAACAAGCCAATAACTGTCTTGATTTCAGAAATATTGGTTATTTTAGCATCTCTAGGTCGAGTTAACCCTTTATCGGGCAAACATAAAAAGCCTAATAAGAAAAATATGTTATTTTACTCATACATTTTTAGTGTCCATCTAAAGCTGACAGAAGTACCTAGTAGAGTACTCAAGTTTTTGAAAAAAGATAACTTTGATAATGTAACCATGTGGTAACAGTGCCCGGTAGAGTAATAGAATTTCAAATAAATACACCTATATTAGATTTATAAGCAATATTTATTCTGAACGAAAAAATAACAAAAAAATAGAGAAAATTAAAAAATTAATTGTCAAAGTCGTAGAAAGAGTTTTTTTATTCCAGTTTAGCCTACAATATTTTGTATAACATCCGTGTACTTCTTCATTGGTTACGGGAATAAAATTTCCTCTTCCTTCCAAAACCGAATCATTTGTTGGTAGGTCGTCTTTACTCCAATTGAAAATTGCTTAAACTTCTCTTTTTTTACATTGAGAAGTTGAAACCGCAATTTCATAAGATTTTAAGTGTTTTCCAGATCTGAGTATTCTGCCGATATTTCCTTGAATAAACCATCCATTTTTCTAAAAGTAAATTTTTTATCGGTCAATGTAACCAAATGGTTACTATACTATTCAAATCTAATTTCTTGTAGTATGTAAATATGCATTAAATTATATTTATCTTAGTAATTAGTTTTGTCCCTCTATAAACTTATAAACGTAAACATAAATCTAAATAAATAAAATTACTTACTGAAATTATATTATTTATCACAACTGACAGTTCTCAGTAGCACAACACAGGAAACGCGTGAAAAAAACAAGCGCCAAACAAAATTTTTAGGAATTATTCGATTTGTTGTGTATGCAACCAACAATATAAGGTTGTATCCATATGGTAAGAGCGCCCGGTGAGATTAAATATACGAGGAGTGAATTTAGAGAAGGTTTTTGTTCAATGTAACCATGCGTTTACAGTGGACGTTAAAGGGTTAATTGTATTTGAATACTTTGAATGTATTTATTGGTACATTCAACAATCTCCTGCAGCATTGTATCGTCAATCAATAAGTTCCAAGTTTCGTATATCCCTTTAGCATGTTTAGCGGCTTCAATTACCCCAGGTAGTTGCATAAGAATATTTTGAGAAGAGTTTCGTCTTCTTTGTGAAAGGGGAAGTTTTTGCCATTTCCACTCATTCACTAAAACATTCTTTTTCTTTTGAACAGTAGTAAAATGTACTGCATTTTCTTCTTCGTCTTTTTCACTCACACAATAATCACTTTGTTCGCTCTCAGAATTTTCTTCCCGGTCCTCAAAACAAACAGACGCGTCTGTATCACTGTTTTACTCTTCAATATCTACTCTTTTATCTTCATCATCACTTTCCTGTTGTAACAATAGATTTCTCAGCTCCTCACAGTGCTTTTCATTGTTCAAATCATACTTTTCACGTCGAAATTCCATTTTATTGCCTAAAAACAATAAAAGTTACGTTAATAGTCGCATGTATCTCCTAGATACATATCATATTTTTTATTATCAGCCAATGCAATTGAAGAATGTAATTTCACACAGCAAATAACTATTCAATTTACCTTTAAAACTAGTAAAGATATGCAAAGAAAAAACATATTTATTAAACTTACCGCAAGAGTCGCGTGTATCTGTGAGATACAAAACGCCAATATTTCAAAACCACTTATATGTACCAAGCCGATTCGTGCACTATTCGAAAGATGCCCGTAAGCGAGGAAGCTACTGGAATGGTGGGAGTAGTAGGCGCCTAAACTACCGGAGAGGGGGAAATAAAAGCACTTCATGTATCTACCAAATACACGCGACTAACGGAAGGTTAAGCTGAATAATTCTACAAATATAAAGTATGTTTTGTTTTAGAATAAACGAAAATCCCTCTTACGATAAACGAAACGAAACATTGATATGCAAGGGCGGGAAATTCGATGGCGAGATAATATGTTGCGGAACAAACTCCATCACAACTACCAATGACACTAGCACGAACCCGAGATCTCCAGATGTAATCATCGATGCACCAGATACCTCAAATCCTTCAAAGCACATGTGCGGTACACAAAGAACCAAAATCAATGTCAGGATTTCCACGGATGACGAAAATTCCATCGACGGAGAGTTTCCATGGATCGCCGCCATTTATAAGAAGAAGAAAAATGGTAACAGGTGGGACTTCCATTGTAGTGGAACTTTGATTAATCCCAAAGTTATTTTGACGGCTAATCATTATTTTCATAGGTGAGCTCCTATTTTTCCATTTTTTTAATATTTTCGTAAACACTTGACTAGATGGTTTTGATTTACTAGTTCTTTTTCTAACCAAATTTACTAATATTTTAGTTTTTAGGAAGAATCCCGAAGACTTCAAGGTCATCTTAAATGGCAACATCGAGTTACCAAAATTGGGAAACGATATAGAACATGAAAGAAATTTGATAGAAATCGTCCACCATCCACAGTATTACGGTGGAGCACTCTACAATGACGCGGCCTTACTAATCTTAGACAAGCCCATGGAGTCGAGCAAGACTAATTCTATAAATAGTATTTGTTTGCCTCCCGATGAGGTGATAGATAGTGGTAGGTGTTTGGTCGCCGGTTGGGGGAAAGGATCAGAAGAAGATGGTAAGCAACCGATAATTTGTTTGCTAGATAAAAATATAATGCCCAAATATTAGGAGAGCGAGTCATTGGAACCTTTTTATTTTTTATATTATGAACTTGATAATAAATTAAAACAGTATTATAATTAGTTCATAAATATAATTTATTAATAAACTTTAATTAAATCAATACAGTGGTAGTATGTATAATAACGACATCAAACCTTATCTACAGCAGCTTATTAAGAAGTAGTGATTCTAATTCTTTGTGGAATGTTAAATAGTTTTATAGCTATTCAACAAAATTTTCAAAACGTTTAAAAGCGTATCTTTCAAAAATATTTTCTTCTGTTTCAAGTTCGGCTTTTACCAATTTCTTCCATAGCAAAAATCCAACCAAAAAAGCCAACAAATCTATCATACATCCAATAATAAAAAATACCAACAAAACCAGTGAATCAAAACTTGATATCACCATGTTAATACCAACAACAATACATCCAATCACATTGAATACCATGGAGCACGGAAGTACTACCAGAAATGGAACCATGGCCGCGTTTCCTCTAAAAATAATTCCAAGTACCATTGGTATAGTACTAATCAAAAATATGTTCTGGAAAGCAAAATTTATGTAAATAAATCTTGAAATTTTTTGGGTCAACATTTCTTCAAAGCTAAAAACTAAATTGATTATACAGTGTGTAGCAAAAAGAAACGCCAAAATGATTGAAATACTTTTTAAAAAAGGGATACTTAAAGTCATTTTTCAAAGTTTGGAATTTTTGACAAATCTTATGACTTTGGCATGTTATTATCATTGGGAGAAAAATAGAGATGGACGTCTTCTTGTGTTGTAAGATAATATGAAAGGTAAAAATATTGGTCATGTCTTTATTAATGGACTAGTAGAAAAAGGTTTAACGCCATTTGCAAATTTTTTAAATATTTGAAGGGAGTGCTTTGGTGGATTGTCTCGTCCCCTTCTTCGTATACTGTCTGTATTTAATCCACCATACATCGATAAGGCTTAATAGTTAAATTATTATAATAGTAAATATTAAGAACAAGTTGGGTTCGAGTGATTTTTACTTCCCGTGTATTACCTCTAACCTCTACATAGTGGAATTACTGACTTTTTGATTATGTGTCATTATAAGTGTTGTTAAAGTTGTTGAGAGGGGGTAAAAACTGAAGAAAGATGTTAAAAATACTTTACTAATACATGTGGTTTTTAGTATAATATAAAGACAAGTGACAAGTGAAGTTTTTGGTTAAGTTATAAAATCTTTGTTTCCTTCTTATTTCAAATATGTTTCTACACCCTCCCTATTTGAAATAAGTCCTTGACTTTTCACACAATTCAAAAACTTTAGTCTGTCCAAAGGTTTTGTCAACGAATCGGCAATCATAGATTGAGTAGGCACGTATTTTAAAATTAAAAGTCCATCATTTATTTTTCCTTTAAAAAATGATGGCGCACATCGATATGTTTAGTGCGGGCTTGATAGGCTCCGTTTAAAGCTAACTTCTGAGCTGCTTGGTTATCAACATATAACAGAGTTGGTTCTGAGGTCAAACTTAACTCTCTGCTTAATCCACGAAGCCATAAAGCCTCTTGAGCTGCTGATGACATAGACATATATTCAGCTTCCGTAGTGGAGAGCGCTACTGTCGGTTGCTTTTTACTATTCCAGGAAATCAGACAACCATTTCGGAGAAAAATATATCCAGTCACCGATCTTCTATCATCTTGACCATTAGCCTAGTCTGCATCACAATGACCGATTATATCTGAGTCACTAAGTTTCTCACCTTTAAATTCGAGTTCATAATCAATAGTCCCTTTTAGATATCGAAGTATTCGTTTTACAGCAGACCAATAAGCAGAACCAGGATTCTGATTAAATCTACCCACACAATTGACAGCATGACAAATATCAGGTCTTGAAATTTGTGAAGCAAATAAACTGCCAACAGCTTCTTGATTTGGCACTGACTCCATTTTTTTATGTTTATCGGCACTGGTAGGTGATTGACTTTTTGACAATTTTTCACTTACTGATGAAGTAGTATCCACTGGATTTGAATTGTCCATGTTAAATCTGTTTAATATTTTTTCTATGTATGGACGCTGACTAATCCAAATTCTTTTATTATTTCTATCCCTTGAAATTTGAAATCCAAGGAGCGATTTTGCTTCACCAATATCTTTCATCTTAAAGTTTTCCATCAACTGACTTTTAAGATCATTTTTATCTTTCTTATTATTGGACAAAAGTATCATGTCATCTACATATATTGCCAATATTAAAACACAATTTTCATTCATTTTATAATAAATGCAGAAATCACTCTGGGATTGTTTCAATCCAATTTTCTTTAAAAACGTGCCCAATTTTAGATTCCAAATACGACTGGCCTATTTTAATCCATACAGTAATTTTTTTAAATGACATACCTTGTTTGTTTCATTGAAACCTTCAGGAGGAACCATATATATTTCTTCATTTAAGTCGCCCTGAAGAAAAGCTGTCACTGCATCAAATTGATAAATATCTAGGTTGTGTTCGGCTGAAAATGATAATAAATACCTTATCGAGCTATATCTGACAACCGGTGCATATGTCTCTTCAAAATCTATGTCCTTTTGCTGTGCACAACCTTTGATCACTAACCGTGCTTTGTACTGAGGCATTGTTTCGCCTTCTTTATGTTTAGTTTTGAAAACCCACTTATTATTTAAAGGTTTTTTACCTAAAGGCAAATCTACAAGATCCCAAGTTTCATTTTGAATCAGAGCTTTAAATTCATTTTTCATGGCTTGAAACCAATAATCTCTATCATGCCTGTTGAGGGCTTCTTCCACTGTTAAAAGATCAGTATCTTCTGTGATTACTGCAGAATATATCACATAATCCTTTAAAAAATCAGGTACCTTTTTTGTTCTCTGAACCTTTTTCATTTTCGATAAATAGAACATCTCTTGACACAAATACAATATTTTTGTCAGTGTCATACGACCTATATGCCTTAGATTCAAAAACTATAGCCCATGAAAATACACAGTGTTGCTTTAGGATCTAATTTTTGCCTCTTCTGAGTAGGAATGTGTGCAATTGCTTTACAGCCAAATATTCTAATATGTCTCACTGTTGGCTTAAAACCACTCCACAATTGTTCAGGTGTCTTGTCAGTGCTCCTACTAGGTAATCTGTTAATAAACTGATGTGTATACTGCTTCGGCCCAAAAAATATTAGGTAACCCTGCTTCAATCAATAGACAACGAGCTTTCTCTATGATTGACCGGTTAAGCCTTTCTGCTTTGCCATTTTGTTCTGATGTGTACGGACTAGAAAGCTGATGTAGTATACCTGCATTCTTAAAAAATGTTCTCATTTCTGTATTACAGTATTCGCCGCCATTATCTGTTCTATAACATTTAATTTTCTGACCAGTTTCCGTTTCAGCAAAATTTTTGAAAATTTTAAAATACTCAAAGATTTGATTTTTATGTTTCAAAAAATAAACAAACGATTTGTGACTATAATCATCAAGAAGAAATGTAAGTACATATCATGAACCAGATAGTGAATTTTCCTGCATCGGGCCACATAAATCTGAATGCACTAGTTCTAAGGGTCTTGATGAATGAGTCTCACTAGACTTGAATGGCAAACGGTGACTTTTTCCTAATATGCAAACTTCACATTTAAAATCAGATGAAAAATTATCTGAAAAATCAATGCCATGTACTAGACCATTTTTTAATATGTTGACTATTTATGTTTACATGTGCTAGGCGACGGTGCCTCATATTACATTCTTTTTCTGTAGATACACTAAACATGACTGAGCCATTAGAAGTGGCTAAACGTGTATCTAGTTTAAATAAATTATTATCAAGTGTGGCAGATGCAATTAGTTCATTAGAAGAATTAAAGATTTTTGCACCTACAGAGTCAAAAATAACAGTGTTGCCTTTTTTAACAATCTGACTGACAGACAACAAATTTACATTTAAATCAGGTACAAAATAAGCATCACTTACTGTTATAGGTTTCTTATTGACTGCTAATGTTAAGTTAACATCACCTATAATATCTGTGTTCATTTCTTCGTTATTAGCTGTAGTAACAGTCATTTTTGCAGATCTTCTTTCTGTTTGCAGTATATCGCGACTTGCTGTCATATGAGCTGAACAGCCAGAGTCCAAGTACCACACATTATTGTTTTTATTATGCACTGCAAATGCAGAAAACAGTGACGCATTACTAGAATTGTCTTTATTTTTGTCCTTACTGTCCTTTTCCTTATCACAATTGCTGGGCATAGTGACCGTATTTATTGCATTGATAACAACGCACACCTTTTGATTTATGGTTATATGAAGACGGTTTGTCCTTAAAACTTGAACCAGAACCACTAGCTCCATACACCTAGCTACAGACTTTTGATCATCACCTTTCACTACTGAAATGTCCTGTACAAGTTTAGTTTTAATCGCATCTGTTGTGATTGGAGTGCCTGAGCTCTCAATACCCATAATCATCGGTTTGTAGCATTCTGGTAAGCCTGCTAATAAAATATTGCCTACCCACTTATCACTAACCTTCCACGGAACTACTATTGTTTAACTGAGTAGTTATTAGAATCCTCAATAAATCTACACGCCGCGTTAACCCTGTGTCCTGAAACGCACTTGATAAACTGTCCCAAGCTTCTTTCGCGGATGTTGCTGTCTGAACGTAAACATAGTTCAAAGGTTTCACTAAAAGAATTATTTTCGAGCGGGCTTTAGTCACCTTTTTTGATCTGTTTCTGTACCTAAAACAGCACCCCACAGTTCTTCGTGTTCTAAATAAGTCTGTACGGCAAACTTCCACGTATTATAGGTCTCACGGCCTTTTCGTTTTTCAATCGGAGGCAGCTGATAACCTTACATTATGTTTGAGACTTAAAACTCACTGCAGCCTTCTGGAGCTCTGGGCCAATAACCTGTTGTTAAAGTTGTTGAGGATGGGGTAAAAACTGAAGAAAGATGTTAAAAATACTTTACTAACGGCCAATTTCATAATCGATAGCTAAAGTGGCCTTTAATGAAAGGAGACTTTAAGCTATTTAAACTATATGGTTAAAAGATACTTTAAAATTAAAGTGTCCTTTAAATTGATTATGAAATTGGCCGTAATACATGTGGCTTTTAGTATAATATAAAGACAAGTGACAAGTTTTTGGTAAAGTTAGAAAATCTTCTTTTTCTTCTTATTTCAAATATCTTTCTACAATAAAAACCTCTAATATTTATTTTCAGGTATTCCAATCCTCAAAAAAGTCGAAGTCCCCCTACTGAACTTCAACAGATGTCAGAACCTCTTGCGTAAAACCAGATTAGGAGCCAGTTTCGATCTTCACAACTCCTTCATGTGCGCAGGCGGTGAAAAAGACAGAGACGCCTGCAAAGGAGACGGGGGAAGCCCCCTCATGTGTACTCTACCATCCAGTAACAGATACTATCATGCTGGAATTGTGTCTTGGGGAATTGGTTGCGGACAAGAAGATGTACCAGGGGTTTATGCCAGTACTACCAAAATGAAGAATTGGATATTGGAGGAACTTAGAAAGAGGAATATACAAGATTAGGTTTTTTAAGTCCGGTGTTATCTATAAAGTACGATTCTTTGACGAGAGAATAGCATTAGTTTTTGTAATGCTGCCAATTTCAGAAAGTAAATTCCTTCATTACAGATAAAAGTGATAGTTATGAACAATTTTTTATTTTCTAAATAAAATTATATAAATCGCCTTAGTAATGTTGTTTGAAAATTGATCCCAATATACTCCGTCCCTGCCTAAATATTTCAATAATTACCCCTTAATTCTAATGTACTTGTCCCAGCGTTGTTCTAGTACAGGGTGTCCCAATGAAAAGTATCCCATTTCCAGAGCTTATAACTTTTAAATAAATCGTAGAAACGTGCGTTTTTTGCTGATATGTGTTATTTTGCTATAAGTTTTGCTTCAGTGACACAGAAATTATGTATTACCTATACAAAGTGTTTTTTAAAAATCTCCTCTTTTAAATTCACCGTAACCAAATTTTATAAAATTTCATTGGGACACCCTGTATTTCAAGAGAGTCACGGAAGATATTTTTTCCAACTTCAAACCATTCAATTACATATGGCGTAACATAATTGTCACTTGAAAATATTTTACCACGCAAATGTTCTTTAAGTTTTGGGAACAGTCTGCGAGGTGATGAAAGAGGATATTAAATACAATCATCAACCATATTATATGTTATTCGATTATTGATGGTTTCAAAGTTATTTGATAGTTTACATTTTTACCTAAAACTGCTTAATGCCGCAACAAAAGCACAGTGAAAAAAATTGTGTATTATGTAGCTAATTTAATTTTCTTAGTGTACACTTAAAAAAGTTGTATCCTTCCAATAAAAGTATCTTCACAAAAATCGTTAATGTTATTGCCAAGTACGGAAGCATATCAATATCATAGGGCTGTTAGAATCCGCCCACTGCAGGGGGTGCGATTAGGAAGATGAGACCATGGAGCATATCTTCTACGATTGCCCGACACTCCCATTTATTAAAAGATCTGCGTTCAGCGAGTATCGGCTAACACCAGCCGATAAAAGCACCTCTTGACGGCGCTGTCAACTACATTAAATCTGTAGACTTCCTCACGAGCTAGAAGGTGCCTATCAATTTAGGAGGATGCACAATGGACCTAGTGAGCCTAAGTAACGTGGGGTAATCCACTCTCCAAACGTTACATATACATAGATCGTTAATGAAACATAAATGACTTATTTTCCAAACACTTTCAGTCAGTTGCTAGAACGTTTATTAAAATTTAGTAGCCTAATAAATTTTGACAGATGTTCATATTGTAAATAATTTGTTTATGTCATTCTGTCAGTTCAGTTTAATCAAGTTATGAGATCATAAGCTATTGATAGATTTAAGAAGCGTTTTGTAAACGGGTATCGTGGTATTTGTTTTACTAAAAATTTTACTTGATTTTGATAAGGTTTTATCTTATTATAAACAATATCTTTTAAAGAAATTATTTTATCAAAAATAACCTCTGTACACTCTGTATAGGCACATAACCTATACTGTAGTGATGGGGCGTTTGGAAAAGTCCACAGACAAGGAGAGTGTAGTTTTGTTGTTTTTCGTTAAATAAATAAAAATTGAAAGTCAGACAATCTCCAGCAAGTTGCCATCTTTTCGGGCTTTCGCCAGCGGATCGCTGGTGATACCGCCGAGATGAATCTCTGGCGATCGACTATGCATACAAAGGAATAAACTCAATCCTGAACCATACATGTGGATACAACTTTCAACATTGAATCTGATGTTGGCAAACGTATCTCACGAAAACAAGCTTAGCCACCTATTAATCTTAGAATTTAATCTAAGCCTTGAATGAAATGTTATTTAATTAAAAATAACTAATGATCAATGTATGTGTTTATGGTTCCTTCTGACATACTCAGTAGGTTTCCATTGTACGTGCCTATTTTGTTCAGTGTCATTTATACTGACCCTCCATAACTGAGGCATGTTATTATTGTTTTTAACAATTTCTCTTCATAGCGACTAGATCTTATAGTTCTATTCTTTTTGAGCATGGTCTTCCTCTTCCTATGTGCTTGTTTTGGGATATTTTCCCAATAAATATTCATTGTCCTCGATCCCTTGATGACCAGGCACCCAATCTAGTTTTTAACCGACCTCAAAAAAGGAGGAGGTTCTCAATTCGTTGGATTTTTTTAAATTTTTTACCGTCCGATTTCAATAATTCTTTTTTTTTAGAAAGAAGGTACTTCAGGGGTGGTCCCATATACATTTCGTCCCCCTTCTCACGAAGTGGCATAAGTAGCAAATAGTAAATTTTACAGGAAAGCAATGAAACGAAAATACGTAATTCTCAGGTCGACATAATATAGAGGGATTTAGAGTTTGCGCTTTCAAAATTTTATCATGGAATGCTAATGCCTTGTTTTATTGTTTGGTAATTCCAGATGAGCCGAACTCCCTCGGGATTTTTTAGAACAGTTCGTAAGGAAAATATTCTGCGTTATTGCAGATAGGACACATAAGTAATATGCTGTATTGCACGCATTATTAAGGTTGTAGATGTGCCGCTTCGTGAGATGATAAAGTAGGTCAACACTAGTTAATTCGCAAAAAAAAATTTTTTTAAATTTTTGTTGGTTAGGTCACTTCGTGATAAAGGCGACGATTTGGTCAAGATCCAATAATAGGGACCATGATAAAATCCTCCCTCTTCATTTTTTGTGTATGTTTAGCGATCATTTTTTACCACCTTGTCAGATTTCTACGAGTCTTTTTTTGTTAGAAAGGGGACACCTGAGGTCAAGATCTGGTGATGGCATCTATAAGAACATCGGCAAACTCAGTTCTTAATGACATCTGCACGATTTTGAAGTCGCTTTTTAAAATTACTTTTGTAACTTGTAGATACTCTATTTTGGTCTGCCAGTGTCTTCAATGCAGTCCCATATCGGCATCAACGTCACGTTTGGACTCGATATGGCCTGGATGTATGACAATATAATATGCATCTGCTGGTTTTTGGTAGCTCTTATTGTTAGTTCTTGTACATTGCAAGATTACATAAAGTGACCATACGTCCCTCATAGAGTGGGACAGACCGCCATTTATGACGAGTGCCTCTTTTTTAATATGTCACCTATAAAAGAGGTCTTGTTATATTACCTCCCGAATAAACTAGTTTGCTGTCGTTTCTATTGGTTTTGTTATTAGCGAGAGTAAACTTTCTTAATCCCTTTAGACTAAAATATTTTAGTCCCAAGGGAGTAAAAGTGGCACTTCAGTCCCTAAAATGAATGTTTTAGTCCCCGAGTTACAAAAAGCTATTTTTATAGTGACATTCAATATTGGTAAAACTTTCTATAAGATAGTTGACGATTTTTTTTAAAGTTCATAATTCTGGAAGTATCTGTAATATTAAAAATAATTTTTAAATTCGTAGTCATTTTAAATGTTTGAGTGTAGATTGTTTAATGCGTATTTTCGACATTGCATTTTTAATTTTGCGTCCCCCATTAACTTGAAAAAATCTGGTCAGTTTAGGCATAAACCTTTGCCTGCAATACTGAGATGTCAGATTTCTAACTGACTTCGATAAAATAAATTCTAAGCTACCCAACAAATAATTATTCGTAGAAGACAAATACCACAACAAAATAAGAACAGGGCAGTACATTTTGCAAAGGACGCGCTAATTAATTTTCTCCCAGTTCTTCCTTTTTCTCCCTTGGCCTTGTCCGCAGAGGCATTTGGCGAGACGTTGGGTATTCAGCCATCCAACGTATGAGAACCGGGGTTAGGTTCAATTCCACCGTTAGTCGTTATGAACTAAGTGCGAAGCTTAAAATTACATTGTTCAAGGAAAAATGTCAGTTTAAGCTTGGCTTATTTCTTAACGACTAGCGGTGGAAATAGACCTTAGTGCGTTACTGTGGTATGTTTTTCTATTACAAAGCTAAGTTTGATGTAAGGGTTTATGAAAAATACTCCAGACCAAATAACTTTCGTAGTCTTTAATTTAATAATACCATTTCCTACAATAGCATATGAATGTCACAAAACCTACCTTTGTGCGAGGAAGATAATTATTGGACTCGGACAATACTGTGGTAAATTTAACGCTGTACTATTTTTTTGAATGTCTTCCTTGTTTTTCCTACTAGATGAGATTTGAAAACCCATTACGTATATAAGGTTAAAAAGAAAAACACAAACTGATTTTCAATATCTTTATTTTGAATGTCCAACAAATATTTGGAGCCTAAATGTCAGATCTAAACTAGTATCACCCACATTGTGCGATTGCCACTATACAGATTCGATTGAATAATATTTGTTTAGAGTTTTGAGGTAAGTACACACGCATACGTTAACAATTTTGGCAAACGATCACCACAGCAATTTGTTCGTCTCACTATTAGAAATGGCCAGGGCAAAATTTGCCAAATAAATTTTAATTTTTCTTTGTTTTTTAGTTTTAAGTAGTTACAACAATTCGATAAAATTAATAAAAGTTGGTGTCTCCGTTAAAATCATGTAAAAACAAAGTTTTAGTTTTAAAAAAATTAGATTTAAAACATTCATGCACGCTTTAAAACTTACAACTTTTTTGATGAATTAATTCTCGAAGTTACTTCACGAAGAATTTAAGACCAAACTTCATGTTTCATGAACGGGCCGCTATAGCATCCCTAGCCTCTTTAGCTGCACTGGTTGGATCAGGGATCGGCTTTAAAGTGATGGGGTTGAAGGAATGGTGGTACATATTCAAGAGGATATTGCTGACCCAGCAGTTGTCTATTGCTACGAGAAAACCTCTGGAAAACTCATAGCAGACCAGGCGCCAACGAGACTCGAACCCACGACCTTCTGAATGCGACACAGATACGTTACCGCAGAGACACTTCGCTCGGCTCATACTTCATAACGTTATTTACTATACATAGGGTGTTCTATTTCTTAGAAGTACTAACCTACTGAACAACCAACCCAAATGTTTTGTTATGTTGAACAATTTTATTT